AGGATTAAAGTTTGTTTTTAGGGTTTAAGGCTTAGGGTTTAGGGTTTAGGGTTTAGTGGTGGATACATCCTGCCTGTACAGGCCCGCGCTACGTGAGACTGGTGAAACGGAACCCACCACGTAGACACCGTCCTTGAGCTCAACGCCATAGAAAGCTGTCCAGGGTTGAGGCTTACAGGGTTTAGGGTCCAGGGTTTAAGGTTTAGGGTTTAGTTATGCCTTTTGGGCACTTGGGGGGACTACACGTGCTCAGGCTTCGACTTTAAATGCTGCTGGTCTTCGGTCGATGCCCTAAATCTAGGTTTGAAACCATGGGCCCCTAGTATGGGCCCTTAAGGGTGGGATCCTTATATACCAAATATATACCCTAGATGTACCCTTAAGGGTCCCTAGAAAGGCCTACGGGTCCATGTTGGGGGCCCATACTTCTAACCTTAGAACCCTAAACCCTAAACCCTAAACCCTAAACCCTAAACCCTAAACCCTAAACCCTAAACCCTAACCTTAGACTAAACCCTAAGCCCGAAGCCCTAGGCCCTGAACCTGTAGAGGCTCACGGGACCCCAAAAGCAGGGACAAAATCGGATAAGTATGCTGTTTAGGGTTTAGGGTTTAGGGTTTAGGGTTTAGGGTTTAGGGTTTAGGGTTTAGGGTTTAGGGTTAGGGTTTAGGGTTTAGGGCTTGTTCTGCATGATCCGTCAAGTACCCCGAGGCCCTGAAAACTACCTGAAACGTGTTCGAGTTGTCAGGTCAGTGGCATGGAGTGCTTTGTAAACCCAATGCACGCAGGCAACAACCGCAGAAGAGGGAATATGATGACCACGTGCTTTTTCATGAAGGAATTCTCCTTAAATTGATTCTCTCCTTTCTGCGTGGTTCAACAGTGAAGTTTCGAAGAAGGCAATCCTAAACCCGGGCGATGGACCATAAACCCAAGCTAATTCCTCCTCGCCTTCCCGCAAAGGTTCGTAAACCCTGAACCCTGCACCTTTCAACCCTTAAACCCTAACGGCATTAAGCCCTTAACCCCTAAACCCCTAAACCCCTAACAACCCTAAAACCCTAGACCCTAAGTCCCTTCATTAGTTTTGCCCTAAACCCCTAATCCCCTAAACTCCTAAAACTCTTAACCCCAAGTCCCTTCCTTGATTTTTGCCCTAAACCCCAAAGGGTCAAGAGCCTTTCTTAATTTTTGCTCTAAACCCCCAAAGGGTCCTGCCCCTCCATGCAGTTCAGCCGAACGATGGACTGGTACCTGAGCCCCCAAGGTCTGACCCGGCAAAACCCAAAGCCCCGAAGGCTTGGGCTGAGGATTTAGGGCTTTGGGTTTAGCGTTTAGGGTTTGAGGTTTGGGGTTTAGGGTTGAGGTAGGGGGTTTAGCATTTTGGGGTTAGGGTTTAGGGTTTAGGGTTTGAGGTTTGGGGTTTAGGGTTTGAGGTTTGGGGTTTAGAACTTTGGAGTGTAGGGTTTAGGGTGTAGGGTTTAAGGTCTAGGGTTGAGGGTTTAAGGTTTATGGCTTGGGGGTTAGGGTCTAAGGTTTAGGGTTTAGGGTTCAGCAGCTCCGGATAGAGCAGTTTCTCGGAAGTCAGCCCACCCACCGAAGATTCCAATATCATAAGGAAACCATTACACTTTCATTAAACTTGAAAGCTGAAATCCTTAAACCCTAAACCCTAAACCCTGAACCCTAAAACCCTGGTCGTAAACCCCAAACCCAAACAACTTAGGCCGCAAACCCTAAGCGCCAAAGCCTCAGACTTCAAAAGTCCTAAAGCCCCAAATGCCAAAGCCTAGGCCTTAAAAAAGCCCCAAGCCTAAGCCCTAAACGCTAACCGCCAAACCCTAGGCCCTGAACCCTAAGCCCCCGAAATCGCCGGTTTCATTTCGGTAGCGGAATCGCCAAATTCCAACAAAGGCCCGGTCGACCGGCTCTTCGCTGGAACTTGGCGGTTTCATTTCGGTAGCGGAATCGCCAAAAACCATAAACCCTAAACCCTAAAGCCCTAAACCCTAAGCCCTGAGAGGAAATCGCCAGATTCCAATGAAGGCCCGGCTTCGTGGGAATATGGCGGTTCATTCGCGGGAATCTGGCGAAAAAAACATCGAAATCGCCATACCCTACGAATGAATTACGGTCTAATGATAAAGAGTGTTTAGGGTTTAGGGTTTAGGGTTTTGGGTTTGAGGTGTTGGGTTTAAGGTTTTGGGTTTAGG